CTATTCTCTTCAAGATGGAAAACTGATTCTGTTCTGTAGGACTCTCCATCAGGGTGTACAGTGTGATCTTTAGACTTTACGTAAGACAGTTTGGATAAGGTGTCTTTAAAGTTTGATCTCACATAGAAGGACATAGCTTTCTTCATGGGCATCATCTTATCTCACAGGAAGAATATTATCACATCATGCCTGTGACTTCAGATTTCTAGCTCAGGCCACCAAGATTAGGGATGGGATTGAGCACCCCCTTGGCTGACATTCCTAAAGGCTTCCTCTGTGTTCTACTTTAACAGAGACCAGGAGACAGAAGAGTGAGCTAGGCAGCAGCAGCAGCATTGTAAGGATAAGTGGCCAGCGAATTAACGGCTGCCTTACATGGCGATCCACCATCAAGGAGACCCAGTAAAGTCAGTCCATCCCCAAATGGCACCTGGTTTTGATATGAGAAATTGGGGCATTGGGCAAGCAGCTGTCAGCTCTGTCACCTCTTCCAAGAGCCGGGCCACTGGAAATGGAAATGCCCAGGAGTTGAAGGAACCCCTGGGTCAGAACCACAGAACCTGTTGGCCCCATACTAAAATGCCCTTCATTCTGCCTAGCTTCCAAAATAACTACCGCCATCAGGAGGATAGCCCACGGTCAGTAACAATCAAGGCAGAGCTGTAGTGATGCCACCTATTCGATACTAACCTCCTATGCAGGCCAGCTCTCCTCCCAGGTGAGCTAAGAAGTCAACAGGTGCCTTCCCTAAGGAGGCTCACATCTCCCTTATGATGTCTCATCCAGTAATACATGTGATGATACAGATAGGTCTGGACCTCACATAGACCTGGCCAAACCTCCCTGCCCACCTGATTATTTTCAAGCCCCTCCTGTCAATTTCTGTTTGCCTCTCAATAGGAAAACTCCCTCTTGGTTTGGACAGCACCTTTCTTAGGTCCTCTAATAATGACTCTGTCCTTAGTTTTAGACCCTGTATATTTAATCTGCTTGTTAGATTCATGTGCTCCAGGCAATAGAATTCTAGATAGTCATGCATACAAAACCTCGAATGGAGACAGTTTGTGTGACCTCGTGCTTCAGCCCCCTCAAGAGGCCACCTTCTGCTGAAACCCTGTCTTGACCACAGGTCCTACTCTGCCCCTATTCAGCTTGAAGAACTCAGCTTTAGTCTTCACGCAAACCCCTTACAGCAGCCAGGATTCCCATAAGCAGAGGGAGGAAATGAGGGAGTCCAGGACTAAAAGCAAGCCAGACTAACTACATCCCACAGCTCCTTGCCAGCACGTACACACTTAACAAAGTAGGAGCATCCTTTCTCTTTGGCAACCAGGCATACGGACAAGACTCTGCTTTCCCATTACCCTCTTTGTTCTCATTTTGGTCATCTTTTCTACCATGGACAATGTTTCTAATTTCTCCTTTTAGCTTCATAATCACAGTGCTCCTATTCCTACCATGTATAATTAACCTATTTCAAAAGTCCTTAAAGGAACATATGACTACTATGACCTGAGCCATCACACAGGAACAGCACAAGACTGCTCTTCTTCAATCAATCCAATCCAGAGCATAGATCCTCACCCCACATCTATGCCCTATCAGCAGAAAGTAGCCAGAAAGAAACCGGCATCCCATCTCCTTATCTATACTCAGAGTCAGGATCGATGGAACAAGGACGTCATCCTCAGCCGTTCTAGGTTCTTGTTACCCTGCCTTCTTTTAGATCAGTTCAATCTCACACCCTGTATTGCTCCCCACTCCACCCCTTGCATTCTTCCCCAGGTTTGGAAGCCAGTGGGCCAAACTTGAAGAACCTGTATGGGGAAGCTCACCTCCACCTACTGTTCCCCACCCTCTCCCCTAGCCCGCCTGAGACATAAAAAAGCCCAGCTTTCTGGGGTCTGGGCCCTCTGCCACTGTCCTGTCTGTGTGCACACTGGCAGTTGGTCACCCACCTCTGTGGATTTATTTTCTTTGAATAAACTCAGTCTGGTTGAAAGTTCATACCCTGTCTCCTCTCTGTTCTGTGCCCCTTTTTTCTTACAAATAAACATTCTGCATATAATCCTCTGTCACATAGCATTTCCCTTTCAAAAGAACATGCTAAGCTCTTCTTTAACATTAAAAAGTTTTGTTTTTGTTTTCTTTTCTTTGAGCTTACATTTCCACTCTATTTTGTTTGGATTTTTTTTAATTTTTTTTTTACTATGCTTTTAGAGTTGAAAGTCTTTTATTGATCACCCTGTCATACATCTGCCATTATGATATAGGAAATGACCCCCTAAAATCTATATGACAATGTGGCCCCCTAAAGTTCCCCAGAAGCGCCATCTGGGATGCCACATAGGCTACTGGAATTTGGGGTGCCATATGACATCACCGTATGCTTATTGATAAATCCCCAATATTAATAAGCCCGAGAGCGTTCTTGCCTAATATTTAGAGAAGAATTCTAAATACCGGCATCAATAAACGAGGCAGCATGGTACATTTTAGGCTTTTATTTAGTGCGAAAGATGCATAGGAGAGTGAGAGCTTTATCTAAGAGAGAGAGGGAGATCTGGGTTCATACTGAGCACCAGGAACCAGCCACGTGAAGGAGCATCTAGGCCAGGAAGCTTAGGGCAGGTGGTCCAAAGGCCACGTGCCCTGGAGGTGCAGGGTTACAGCAAGTCCCCTCCTGGGAAGAGGCCGAGGCAAAGAAGAGAGGCACAGACACACCGTATCCCAGGCTTTTAACCCACTTCCAAAGGGGAGTAGTTAATTAACCTGATTGGCTGGTGGGCACCCAGGTGTGGCCAGGTAGGGGCATGAGGTCACACAGGGGTATGGCGAAGGCATGGTCTTCCAGCTCACAAAGCTAATGGATTTTAACCTGCATGCTTGCCTACTTCAATTAGATCATCGCATAAATTAAAATATAATTTTTAAATGTCTTATGATAATAAGGTTCTGTGTGCTGAGTTTATTCTGGACTGAGTTATCATTACAATTATTAATAATATACTTTTGATAAAAATAAAATAAAACTATTACAAATTTTGGTGGCTATCATGCATAAAAATTAAAAATAAAAATATATCCCTTGGTATAGTGATTTCTATTTTTTTTTTTTTTGACAGGCAGAGTTAGACAGTGAGAGAGAGGGACAGAGAGAAAGGTCTTCCTTTTTCCATTGGTTCACTCCCCCAAATGGTGCACTGCACCGATCCGAAGCCAGGAGCCAGGTGCTTCTCCTGGTCTCCCATGGGGTGCAGGGCCCAAGCACTTGGGCCATCCTCCACTGCCTTCCCGGGCGACATCAGAGAGCTGGACTGGAAGAGGAGCAACCAGGACAGAAACGGCGCCCCAACCGGGACTAGCACCTGGGGTGCCGGAGCCACAGGCAGAGGATTAGCCAAGTGAGCCACGGCGCCGGCCGATTTCTATTTTTAATTAGTTGTGTATCTGCAAATGAATATTATTTACTGCTAAGATGAGCATGCTCAACATCAGTGCTATTTCATTTTATGTTTTCTTTGTGTAGATGTACATTAGTGTTTATCCACATCACACAAATAATTAGATAAGAACGGAAGAAGCTTTGCTATTTTGTGCAGCAATGATCTTCTTTAAACAGCTTCTGAGTGATTTATCAAAAATCACAAACTCATAAAATACTGAAAAATATTTTATCAGTTTCTTGGCTGACAACTCAATCAGATCCTCATTTAGCTTTGTTGAAAACCATCTGAATAGCAGAAAGATTTGTTAACTAGTCATTAAAATCATTCCCTTCTTCAATCCCTACATGCTGAATTTCACATTCTTCTGTGTAGAATGGCCTCTAAAAGAGAGCGGAGGATTGGCAACAGGGAAGACCTTGATTACAGGCTAGTTCCCAAGTCTGTTTTGTTTTAAGACAGTGCATATGGGAGGTTGTGGATCTGTAAGCTAACTTTGCCAGCAAATCTCATGAAAGCTTCATCTTCCATTGGAGGTACACACCAGTTAGGGGGCCATTTTGTCACATCAGTCCCAAGGTCCTGAACAACTGTTAGATTTATCTCATAACACAAAAGTCTTAATATAAACATAGCTATTAGTGGATACTTACTAAATACTAGGAAATCTTTGACAATGAGGTAGATTTTGGCACCAATTTTCTGTGTACCTCCTTTTTCCAAATGAAGGTATTGCAACATGCACATTCCCAAATATACTGCATTTTATCTTACAGTTAGTTTCCAGTTATTTTGAAAAGTATAGCTTTCTTGTCACAGTACATAATGTTAGATGGAAGAAAAAAATATTTAACAAAGAAAAAGAAAGGTTTATTTGAAGCTTTTAAGGAATTTCAGTGGTATTTACTCGCCATTCTCGTACCTCTTGCTGCTGGCCATGGTGACAGGGAATATTTTTTTTTAAATGACACAATCGAGTGGTACAAAGGCCTGGGAGGAAATATTACCCAAGGTCAAAAGCAGTCCCTTCTCAACTGTCCTTGAGCCTGTTGGAATATTTCACTTACTAGATGAATCTTCCTTAAGGCTTCTTTTCTTTTCTCAAACAATCATTTTCCAAGGGCAGTAATTGTGGGAAAATTATTGATCTTAGAAAGGTTAAAGAACTCTATTTTTAATTTACAACATAAGAGTTTATAAACCCACAGAAAAAGCTTAATTCAAGGAATGCAAGTAAAAAGCCCAATTCTGCCTGCATTTCCTTTGGTTGTCTGTTTCCCTTGAATTGTTTACATGATCCACTTTGTTCTTTGATTGACATTGGCTGGAAATATAACTCTCCTGACAACAATAAAGCATACACTAATGATAACTTTTTTTTTTGCCTTTTCATAAGTAAACAAAAACATGTACAGATTCACATGTAGTATCTTAATTATCTACTTACGTTACTTTGCTATTATTTTAAAAAGTCAGTTAAGTCAGAAGACCTGAGGTCAAGTATGATTTTAGACATGCCACTGAAATTTATTTCTTAAGTTGTCTATTACATTGTGATAACAATGTTCCTCCCTGACATTATCCCATGTCTGTAAAAGATGTGTATGAACAGTCAGTATAAACACATACACTCAAAAATAAAGCCCAGTGAAACTAATTCTCTCTTCCTTACTCTATGGAGTTCAATTTTTGTAGGAAAAGAACAAAAAATGCTATAAAACTCTGCCTTATGTACAAAGAACCACTCACATGTCATACCTAGAGACATATGATTTATTTATGCCTATAATAACAAAGAAACTAACAAAAAATCATTTCAGTTGAACGTACAAATAATTTTATAATACAATATTTGCAGAAAAAGAATTCACTTAATGAAAACATCACAACACTGAATTTCACAGTTAAACCCACATGCAGATTGAAGAATTATATTACAGAATGTTTTGATGAAATGTGTTAAATATAAAAATAATCCAATGCAATTTCCATTTAGCACATTATACAAAACTATTTGTCAATGGAATTAACACATTTACAGTTTTTCCCACAAGGACTTTGTTTCCAAAGTGCTCTGCAGCATCAAGCTTGAAATCAGAGAACAAATACCATAGAGCTCCACAGTTATGTAGCTCAGAAGTTGGATATAATGCAGGTGAAATCCACTCATAAAACATAAGTCCAATGATGGAGATCTATGAAGTGAAGTGAGTAGCACACTCAGCTCTCAGTGGAGGTGGGGCAGAGGTACTATAAATAATGAGTATTGATTACCATTTTCCAGAGAAAGAAAGAAAGAGAGAGAGAGAAAGGAAGAAAGAAAGAAAGAGAGAGAGGGAGGGAAGGAGAGAGGGAGGAAGGAAAGAAGGAGGGAGGGAGGGAGGGAAGGAAGAATCACAGTGCTTCTGCCATCTGTTTTCCAATGGAGACTAATCTTCAGTACACTGTAGTCAATGATAGCAATTTCCGGACTTTAGTGTACATCAGGATTCCCGGAGTGCTTGTTAAAACACCAATAACCAGGTCTCACCCAGAGTTTTGCATTTAATAGATATGAGACGATGTTAGGGACAAGTTTGATGCTGGTGCTCCTGATCAAGGGACCAGTGCAATATCTGTCCATTATCCAGTTCAGATTATCAAATGACTCAGTTATTCATTAAAATGGAAAACACCTACAATGACCTGGTCACTAAGGACATAGATGGTAGAGCAGCCAGCTTGGATGGTTTACCGTAGCAGGTTCCAATTTTGGTCACATAATAGAATCAAATGAAGAGTTGAAAAAAACTAACAACTTACATGTAGTTTTATCTAAAACTAATTAAATCTGTATCTCTGAGGTCAGCCAGGGGTTGATTTACTTATGAAAGTGTCCATACAAGTATTATGTGGAGTCTGGCCATAGAATTTGCTTTAGGACATTCTCTTTCACTTCCTCGACCAAAAAAAAAAAAAAAAAAAAGGGTGCCCTTTGGGGGGCAGTGTCATATAGATATCTTCAAGGAAACAAAACCTCGAGGCATCACACTGATACACCATTGGAAAATAATATCAGGGGGTAACTGAGAGAGCAACATGACTGTTGATTTATAATGGGCTGCAGGTTTAGTTCACAGGTTTGAAATAACAGAACTCAGGAAGATGAGCAGCACACTAACCTAACCCGCCTTTCCTTTCCATTGAATGACATCAACTAAAGAGTGGAATGTTGGACCATATGCTGATGCACTAAGTTATCTGCAATCATTATTATCCTCATCACCACTGAGCTAAATTATTTACTACTTTGCTTTAAATTTGAGTACTCCTAAAAATAAGACCCTAGAGATGAAATGCTACAGGCTATTCTTTTACCTCAGAAAGCACAACTACAGCAATGCACATAAAATGAAGAACATTTTGGAATAAGATTTCCACTTTAAATTGCCCTCCTGGCATAAATAGAAAGAGTGGATAGATACAAATGTAAGTGAATAGGCACATCCCCGAATCCATTCTGGATGGACTTAGGGATCTGGAGCAATGTTCAGTCTTGTATATACCTGGAAGGACCTTTGGGAGCTCCCTTTTACAGACCAAGTCATTAAAGTCTCAAGCCACAGTTTTGGGATTTTTTTTTTTTTTTGCTTTGTTTTGTTTTGTTGGATTGATGATTTTACTTATTTGAAAGGCAGAGTGACAGGGAAAAAGAGAATGAGAGAGGGAGAAAGAACCCCACATGCAGTTAGGGCTGAGCTAGGCTGAAGCCAGGGGCCCTGATCGCCTCCATGTCTCCCATTTGGGTGGCAGGGTCCCAAGGGTTTGCACCATCTTCTGCTGCTTTCCCAGGTGAATTAGCAGGGAGGTGGCTCAGAGTTGAGCAGCCAGGACTCAAACCAGCACTCCCCTATGGGATGTGGGCATTATAAGTGGAGGCTTAACCCACTGTGCTGCAACAACAGCCCCAACACAGACTTTACATAAAATCCCCATGTATGAAACTGAGACTAAGATTTGATTATAAAATTAAAAGCAAATTTTGGATCCTGGGTATCAGGCCTGGGCTTTCAATGATATCTGGTAAAAGTCAAACACTTTAAAGCCACTATTTTGGTTTGACTATATTCAGATTAGCTGTGTAGAACATGGAAGATCCTCACAGTTAGCTCTGCGTTAGGAACCACTACTCCTTCGAAGGGGCTTATGGATGTGCTGGAGCTGTCACAGGGCTTATTGAGCTACTGACCGGCGCTGACATACTGGAAAACATGTTGGACAAGCACAGTGTTGAGGAAGAAATTTTCCAAACAATAACATCTGACGTCCAGGGGAGACAACTGGGTGAATCATTTCCTGCTCTTTAGGTCTTCCAGAAGGCATCTTGAAAATTTCCTGAAAAATAAGAAGGCAGCTAGTGATATGGATATAACCACTCAAAATAGAGGAATCTGGGCACTAAGGAGGTAAGGGCAGCAAGGAAAGACCAAGCTATGCAATAAATTCTCTTGTTAGTTCCACCCTCCCAATATTTATAGATCAGTTTGACATGTATAAAAAATGTCTTATATTTTGAATATGCAAAAATTGTTTATATGAAACCTAAAACTGCATAAATGAAGTCACAGAGCCCATTTAAAGGCAAATGATCACAGAAAAAAAAAAAAACCTGCTTTGATTCTTTAAAGCACTGAAGTGGAAATGGATTCTGGAGTAAGTTTGATTCTTCTGTGGTCTATCCCTTGCACATTCTCTTCCATAAACATTTCGCCTTTGGAGTCCTGTCTGGGAGACACAGATCTCACTATTTCAGGGAGTTGTGCTTGTAAGGACTGGGCAGTGACTCGGAACCACAGAGGGAAAGAGGTGGGTCCCTGGGATCCCCTGGGTGCCTCCTCCATCTTCCCCAACCCCTCTCCAGCAGGGCGAGGGCCAGGCAGGCCGTCATAGCACCCTGGGAGTAGGTGTGTACACAGACACCCACGAAAGGGAAAGTCGGCCTCAATAGAGAACATTCACAGTGGAGTTTCAATTCAGTCCTCCTAGAACCAGGCTTAAACTCACCGCGGGCCAGGAAGTCGCCTAGGCCTTCACGTTGTTGAAAGAACTCTCTGCAGGCTCACTGTCATGGTGCACCACCTGCTCTTGCGTTTGTTGCGTTCCAGGGACACTGGGCTTCGCAGGAGGTGTTGCCACCGCCCGTAGATTCTGGGCTCTGGACGCTGATGGTCCCTCGGGCCACGACCCCGGTCTCTCCTCTTCAGGGATTCCTGCTTCCTGAGCCGGGCCGCCGTCCCCCGCAGCCGCCCACCCTGCCTTTGGATCCTGTCCCGGTGCGCTCTCAGCCTCCTGCGTTGACGTCGATGGAACTGTCAGCTCCTCCAGCGCTGCCCTCTCTGCAGCTGTTGCTTTTCCTAGCAACTCATCCCCTTTGTGCCAAGTTTCCTCCCCCGCAACAGCGGGAATGGAGGCGGCTTTCTTTCCTGCTGTTTTTCGCTCGGGCCCCTGCGGATCTGCCCACAGCTCCCTCTTCTCGGTTAGGACAGCTCCTCCCCCTTGGCTTTGATCTCCCTCAGCCACCGCGCTCCTTGCTTCCATCTCTCCTGGCCCCAGGGGGCGCTCTTCGTCATCGTCCTCCTCCTCCTCCTCCTCGTCTTCTGGGTCCTGGTCGCCTTCTGCGTGGCTCAATTTGCCCGCCATCACGGGCTCTCCCTCTGGATCATCTTCCGGGGCTGCAATCACGGCCCTTTCTGCACCTCTCCCCTTCAGAGGCCCGTCTTCGTCCTTCCCCTGCCCTGCAAGGCAGTGCTGGTCTTTGGCTGCAGCCTCCTCCGCCTGCCCTGGGGCCGTGACGGGCCCCTCTGGCGGCGCCTGTGCCCTTCCTGCGGGCTCACCCTTGGGCGCTCCTGCCGCGCCCGCTCCGCCACGACGGGGCCCGTCCTGTGGCGCGGCTCCTTCCCTGGGCCCTGTGTCCCCCGCCTCGCTCAGGCCTTCCCCTGCTCCTCCTTTCCTCGGAGCTGTGAAGTCCTCCAGGGCCTCCTCAAATCCAGGGGTTGCCTCACTGGCGGTCCCCACTCTCTCTGTCAGCGAATGTTCTGGACGCCCTTCTTCTTGGGTCAATGCAGCCGCCTCCGCGGGTGCCGCCGCCTTGGCATCAGGTTCACTTCCACTTCGAGGGGCTTCTGTGGCTTCCTCTTCGACGCTGAGTTCCTTCCCTGCTGTCCCCTCTTCACCGTTGGGTGTACGCTCGGGGTCTGGCGGGCGTGCGTTAGTCCAGGGCTCCTCTGCTCGCTCCGCGTCGGGTCCCTCTGGAGCTGCGTCTGGCCTCTCAGCTTCCCTCCTCTCTGCTGCTGCGTCCACTGCGGCAGGGCACAGCGCGTCTTTCCGGCCCTCTCCCGCGTCTGATGCGGCCTCCATCAGAACCTGTTCTTGCTTACTGAGGGCTTCAGAAATGCCCTCGGAAACGGCCCCGCAGCTTGCCTCGGCCTCGCCTCTGGAGGAGCTCAAGGGGGTTTCTGCCCGCATCAGCCCCTTCCTCTCTTCAGCCTGTTCCTCTCCCCCAGCCACTGCCTCTTCAGAGCTACCCCCGGCCTCGGAGGCCGCGTCTCCCCCCGGCCCCACGGTCTCTGGCTCTGTGGATGCGTCCTCTTCATTTTGGTCCACGTCTGGCTTTGGGGACCCTGCCTCGCTCAAGGCTGCCTCCCCGTCAGCCTCTCCTTCCTTTTCCAGCGTCCCTGCTTCTCTCTCGGCTGCTGCCCCCTGAAAACACCCGGAGCTCAGAGCCACGGCCTTGTTTGCAAGCCCCGCCCGCTGCACAGTTTGCTTCCCTGCGGACACTGCGTGTTCTGGCTCAGGCACTGTTCCTGTGGAGGCCGGCTCTTCAGGACCCTCCGCTTCGCTCAGAGCCACAGAACCCCCTACTGCTGCTTTTCCTGTGGGGCTGAGCCCCCGTTGGCCTGGACTTCCGTCTCCTGTGCCTGTCCCTGCCCCACTGCCTTTACCTGCAGGCGTCTCTCTTTTCTCTGTGACTTTGTCTAATGTTGGCAGCTCTGCTGTTGGCTTCCATTCCCATGCAGGGACCTGAATCATCGCTGCTTTTGCCCTGGGTACTGCACCCCCTTCTTTCTCCTCTGTGTCAGCATCCCCGTGTTGGGCGGCTTCATCTTCCTCTGTAGCTTCTTTCTTCTCCAGTACATATGTTTCCTGGGCAGCTTGCTTGGTTTCCTTATTTGAGTCGAGTGCTACCCTTTCCTCCACCACTAAATTATTCTTTTGTGCTATAAAAGTAAAGTTAGAAAGCAAGGTTACTTTAATGAATGTGGACAAAGAGATACTATCTACCATCCTGTATAATACTTATTGATAAGAGATTTCATATATGATGTCAAGGGAAGTTGAAAATTATAACATTTTCTTGGTTATATGATGACATCAATTATAGCAAACACTGTTTTAACAGTGGCTTTTCATTATGAAAATCAATGCTTTCAAATCTAATGGACACCCTGATTAAAGTTGGACATCAAAAATACTGAAAATAAGCAAACAAAAAAATCTCATTGCCTCATGTCTTAGAATAAAAAAAAATATTTTTCTTTCCCTCTTTCTCTCACACACAAAAACAAACTTCCTAATTTCATTTGAAGAACTTTTAGGAAAATTACACAATAAGAAAAATAATATGTCATCTTTTTAGAAATCATTATGGCCTATAGTACCATAATATTCCTTTCTGTCAATGTTTCTGCTACTCATGTGGTCATTTACCAACACAATCATAGTGTACACTGATCATTGTATCATACTTTACTCCTTATTTTAAAGCTACTATATCTATATTTAGTCATCAAAATCCTTTGTAGCTAGCTCAAGGTAAGACTTTTTACTAAAGACACCAATTTGTGTTACAGGTCAGTGTATCTCCCATCTACATTCAGAAACTGATTTGCCTTTGGCAAAACAGGATCACAGAACAAGACAAGGCTTTGTAGTCTGGGACAATTTTCAACATAAACAACTTTCTAGAAGTAAGTCATAAGGTCTCATCCATAATTCCTCAGCAAATCTGAGTGTATTGACTATCATTCTTCAATAAATATACCTTTGATACATATTTTTAAAGGCTTCAAATGGATTACTATTATTTAACAAAGACATGTGTTTTTGAATGATCCAAGCCAACTAATTAAAGGCAAGTCCTGCCAAATACCGAAGTGTTTAAATTTTCCATCTGCAGAAAGATACTGGACTATATGCTATAAAATAAGTTACCATACCAGAGCTTCCACTTCTCAATTATGTACATTAGAAAGTAAGCCAGTGAGTTTTTCTGACATTTTTCACATGCTTGCCTTTTTTGGCTAGCTATCTTACCACCAGCACCATAACCAACAATCTATTAGAAGTTCTGATCTTACTTCTTCCCTCTCCTTACACCCATGCATGACTGCTCACTAGCTCTCCCAACACAAAATATGGCTAGCCTTAATTTTGTTGCCTCAGTCTCCTACTAGCTACTATGGTAAACCATTCTGAGGTAAAGCAATAATCGCTGGTATTATATTTCCTTTAAAAATGTATTTGGAAAGTAACTTTTGATGTCTTCTTTCAAAGGAGTAAAATAGAAATTTCAGGTCTATCAATGGGACTGAGATGGATTTTTATAGGTGTTCCTCAGTGTATCATAGTGGTTATTTCCTAAATTGTACCTAAAAGTTCCAAAGGGAAATGTAGAACAAGAGTTTACTCAGAGAATGTGTAGCCTCTTCGCCTGAGAAAATATAGTACATTCTATTTCTTTACAATTACTGGATTTAAAGCAAAATTAAATTAAAACAATGAAAATGTGTGTCAAGTTTCTTTGGCAGTATATCTTGCTATACAAATTCCTGAATGAAAGTTTACTAAAAAGTCAGTTATGAAAATATTTAAATAAAGTCCTCTGTGTTTCTGTGCTGGCCTCTAAATTTATGGATTAATTAAAGAACATTCAGGAAAACAGGGGAATAGAATTGCCTGCCTACCATGTAATAATATATTGTGCCTAAATTCTAGGAGAGAAAGTGCTAATGGCATCCAACTGAGCTATTAAGTGAACATACACACCACGGAGGCGTCCACCATGACATTCTTGAAGAAAGAGAGGAAGTAATTGAAACCTTCCCGGGAAATAATCAGTGCAAAAACATGGCATATGTGATTTGATGGTAACCACATGGGCTTTTGAAAAAAAATATTTCATTCAGGAGAGCAAGAAATATTCATAAACAGGGCAATTTGATTTAGTAGGATGAGTCTGTAGCTGGGAGTCAGACAGCTCTGGGTGAGAATGCCAGCCCTGACACTTACTAGCTGTATGACTTTGGGAAATAACAGCTCTCTAAGCCTTCATTTTCATATCTGTAAAATGAGAACAGCCATGCTTGAATCACAGAATCCCTGTGATAGCAGACGGGATAGTTTATGGAAAATGCTTAGCACAACGCCCAGCTTACAGAAAGCCAGAACGAATCTTCCCTCTACTTTCTCCCCACTGATTATGACTAACCAGATTTTCCTACTTGAATTTGATTTGATCAATAATAACTACTAAGCCTGTATTGCAGAATAAAGTTGGGGGAGGTACACCAGAATTCTTCTAGTTGAATACCCATTATAAAAGACTTAGGTTTTCTAAGCTTAGGGTGCCTGATCTGCAGTTCAGCCCATTTTCACATGCAAGTGTCACCTGGCCCTCTTCGTGCAGCCCAGGGAGAACCCAAACTCAGGGATTCAGCATGCATATAGTTACTGTGGCTACCGCTATTTGCTGTGAGTAATAAAGTTCTTTTTCTCTGACCCAGGTGTATTGTGTACTCTGCCAATATCCCCAACACTGGCTGGGTAAGTTGTTTACTTCAAAGTAGTATGAAATTTCAAATTGATGACTATCATTAAAAATTGGAGATGGGAGTAATGCTACCATGTGATGAATAAAGCAAGTACCCTTAGAACCGTTATACCTAAATGTATTCATGTCAGAAAGTTTTTAGAAAGGTATTAACTAAATATAGGAAAACCTGATTTCAAGGACATAGGAAGTCGGACTACATATGAATGAGTCACGGTCTGTTGAATCACCCTAATTGGCACTTTTGCAGATGGAATGCTTGTCACCAAGAGCCAGGTCGTATACTGATGGCAATGAATTATTTCCTAATTAAAAAAAATAAGTTCAAATGAATCATTGTGAAATATGCCTTGGCTTTCGGGTGTCTCCACCTGAGTCAGTTAAGGCAAATTCAGCTGGTCAACTAACTGGGAGACAGAGTATGAAAAACAGCTGATTTGAAAATCTCTACCAGTATTTTATAACCCAAAGTCCTTTTCTCTTCATCTTAGGCACCGGTGTATTCAAAAAAGAATAATAACATTCATATCTGATGTCATTTTCAAAGCTCCGCTTTAGGCCTCCCAACCAGTTGCTGCCATCACATTCATTAGTTACAAAGAAAAAGAACGTGGCAAAGGATAGGAAGATGAAAGATGCAAATGGGCTGTCTTTTACAGGGGATTTCTGAAGGTCTGTCCTAGGTAATGATGTGCCCTTACCTCCACCTGTGTCAATCTTCGGCTTCCTCAAGGGCTTCCCCGGCTCATCTGCACTGCTAACACCAGACTCGGCGTCATAGTGGCAGTGGTAGCCTGGTGCCAAGTCTTCAGTTATTATCTGTCCAACTGATTGGAGATTATATAAAATATCAAAAGGTATAAAAACAGGTCACAGGAACGTTGCCAACCTATTTCACATAACTTAAGCAAGTGGGGTCAATTTAAAAACATGCACACATTAAAATGTAAACTTGTTTGTAAAATCTATTGGATTAAACAACTACCAAGCTATGATTTTAAAAGGAAAACACAACACACAGAAGATCATGAAGTAAAGAAATCCATGCAAAGAATTACTTGTATTTATAAATAGACAACAGCCAGAAGCGGTGATAGTCTGTAAAGTGCACATGCAATGGCATGATTGAAAAAGCAGTTTAGTTGGCTTTTCCTTTCTAGAAATATGTTACAGCTTTTATGACACCAATCATTACTGCTCTCTTAAATTGCTAAAACTTTCAAAGTTGACTAAGTGATTAGCACTTCATCCATTAGTATATTTTAGTGATTTGACCCCGATAACCACTCCATGTGGACAGAAGCAAAAAAAGAGACATTACATGATTCCCATAAATTTGACAGTAAAAGCTATTGTAGAAATTCCTGTCATCTGTAGCTGGTTACTAACAAGTACTTCTGGATCACAAAGTTCCACTTCCATATTCTATAATGACTATGTCACCTCAAGAGCTTTGGTTTTTAAGCCCAAGCCTCAGTTTACTCATCAGTCAGAAAGATATTTGCTCAATGGTTCTTGAGTAAAAGAATATATTCAGAGCATGCTCATCTTCTTATTGCAGGTCCTATACACTTAATATATAACAGCGATGACGACGATGATGATGATGAGCATTTCTGTTATAAGTGTCCTCACCCAATGTGTTGTGATTCTAGGCAAAACTACAGTCAATTGCTTACATTTCTCAAAATCCCCTGTCTTGCTTATCATCTGATGAGCCATGTTCTAAAACCCTGTCATCTTCCACCTGGCTCCCCTCTGGTTAACAAAAGTGCACTCAACTATTAGACCTAGAAATGCCTTTCAGAATTAGAACATGATTTCTTCAAAACTTCATTGCTGTCTCTTCTTTTATTCCCGCCCTGACTTCCTTCCTTCACTCCGTCATACCCACCCTTCCTTCCTCTGTCCTCCCATTATTTTCTGATATGTACTGCTGACACAATAACTATACCTTGAGAAAAACATAACTATAATGCCTAACTAGAATGTAGTCTCTGGCTTAGTTTAAGATTACTTACTAAGGGGTAATATTTACTGATCCCTTTGTTTGGAAACAAATAGTGAGATATCTGCCTCAACTGGGTGTTGGGAAGAAATGGTGACAACTAGATTAATCTTATGAGGATAAATGTGGGAATGAAAAGAGGAGCGCCATTCAGTTCCAATGTATTCACTTTTCAAAGATTTTGAACATTAGCTTTCTTTATTAATCCAATATAGAAAACAAAACTTCTTTTACAATAAAATAATTTAAAGATGACAATTTTGTGATAGCAGGATTTGTTATCAGGTCAATCTTTGGTTTAGAAATTTTATAAACATGGTACATATAGGTTAAATATCATGTTACCCACTACGTTCATGCTAACATTATATATTTAAAGAGCTTAGATAAGCAGTTTTAGGTCTTTGCATATAAATTTATTTGGTTGATCAAATATTGGAAATAACAAGGATAGCAGAACCAGAGGGGAAGGTAACAAGTCTAATTTAGTAGCAATTACATGAAGTTTTGTTTCACTAATGTTAACAAGACATCTAGATCTCTTCCAAGTAGTCCACAGGCTATAAAAAGAGATCTGGTTTATAATATTAAGAATAATGATAATAATAAGTAATAATTAACCAATATAAGTTTTTGAACCAAAAGACTATTCTAAGACGACAAACAATGCTAGCACAGCCTGAAAAATCACAACCACTCAGAACTGATGGTGAAGCATGTAGTCCCTCTGTGTCTAGACTGCAATCACCACTCGCCCATGTCTGCTGGCTTGCCCCTGGAGGTCTAGGCTTTGGAAGCAGGGAGAACCTGTACAGTCAGGTGTTCGGGACCCTGGCTCAAGTATCAAGGATTTACTAGATGTGAGACCACGAAAGGTTTCATTTGGTTATTTTTTTCTCTGATGCTCTTCTGAAGCTGAAACTTAAAAGCAAAAGCTTGGCTGGTGTCTAATCTCGACTGTTCTCCACAAGTGGTCAAAGAGGACTGTGAATGCCGGGACTCCCATGTCAGCAACGTGGCTCCATCTATTTAGCCCTTCAGCCCTGAAGACTCTTGTCCTTCACCTCTCTATCAAGGTGACCACTAAAGCAAAGATAGTTACCAGTTCTCACAGAATTAATACCAAAATTGAATAGTCTTGTATGGAGAATTTCTCAGAAAAGTACTTGTTTCCACTCAAGTGATATAGGAGACTTTAACATGTTTTTTTCAAAATACCAAGATAGCCTTATATTACATCCTTAGCTTTTTGTTAAACTAAGACAATAAAATATTTTTTAAAAAACCTTTATGTATTGTATAATCTGTAAATATCAAAATAGTATATGATCATTTTCTGAAGTTTGGGAATATTAAAAGCAGAAAGAAAAAAACAAAAATTTCCCACAATTTCATCACTGAGAGAAAACTATTGTTAACCTTTTGGTGGACTTCTAAGTGTTTTTTTACCCTTACTGTGGACAGCATTTCAAATTCTATTTTCTTAATTTAGTACTATTTGTGACTACTTCCCTATAGCATTAAAGATTCTTCAATAAAATGTTCTAATAAATTCTGGCTAATATTTGGCTAACCAACTGCTTATTGTTGGATATTGAATTGTTTCTATTCCTTTGTGATTATGAAGCTATTTTTATATACCAGTTAACCATCATTTTTTTGCATATGTTTCTAACTATATCCTTCGGATACATTCTTCTGATTGGAATTATGAAGTCAAAACTCACTGATTTTTCAGAAGCCTTTGATATGTTTCTAAATATTTTCCAAAAAGAGAATCAATTAACTTCATCTATAATGATTACAAGGCTTTTTGCCTCTGCACTGTGCCAACAATGTCACAATTTCCACCCATTCTTTCCATATTTGATAATTTAATAATTGAAAATGATGACAAGAATAGGGTAGGCTTTTGGTAGTAGTGGTTAAGATTTCCTTTTGTGAATTTCCTGCTATATACTTCTATTGCCATGATGTTTGCCTTATTGATTTGTAATAATTCTTTATGTATTATAAATCCTTTGTTGTATACATGTTGTAAATTTTTCTGAGTTTCAGTTTTCCTTTGCTCGAGCGTGTTGCTGCTGCTGCTATCAAGAATTTTTTTATTACCACTATTTTTTCCAAGTTAATTAAAATTGTTTTCAAATGCCAAAATACTGTTAAATATCTGGAGACATTCTACATTAAACTTGGAATTTAAGCTGACAAAATTGCAAGCATATTTATATTTAATCATCTATTCAAATATTTGGAGTAAATTCCCACTTATCGTAATTATTCTTTAGAATTATTTATCTATTCAAAATGCAGAGAGACACAGAGAGAGAGAGATTGTCTATCTGCTGCTCCAGCCCCCAAATCCTGCAATCCAGACAGAGTTGGGCCAGGCTGAAGCCAGGAGTGAGGAACTCAATCTGCATTTCCCACGCGGGTGGCAGGAACCCAACTACTTGAGCCATCATCTGCTCCCTCCTAGGGTACACATCAGCAAGAAACTGTATCAGAAGCAGAACCAAGACTTGAACTCAAGGACTTATCTGGGTTGTGGGAATTACAAGTAACATTTTACCTGCTGCACCAAATACCTGCCCCATCGTAATATCTTTATCCAGTCTGTTTATCTTATGTTTTCCCTTTCTACATATTCCTAAAGTCTGATTACAGGTACTGTTCATTTCTTGTTTACTAGCAAGTAGTTTGTTGTTATACTTTGAGGATATACTTTGAAAAAAACAAAAAATAACTTCTGGTTTCAATAATTACATGATTAATTATCTAGAGAGTTGACTGTTTTTTCTTAGACCCAATAATTATTTAGAAACCTGCTTGTAGGTTTTATTTATTTTTTTGTGTGAAAAGTAATTTTATTTTGTGAATAATTTCTAGTGTTATTGCACTGCTATCATGCAAAATGGATTCAATTTTTACTTTGTGTTGCTAGAAAAATACAGGCGTGTGGAGAACACTATCTGATAAACCACCCTAATAAATTTTACTAATCCTTTTTTCCATATATTGATCATAGGAAAAAGATTGATATCTATGTAAAAGTGAGAATTGTTACTTTTGTAACTGCTGGTTAGCATCTTGAATGCTCTTAAATTCCAGCTGGATGCAGGTCTTTCTCATATGTGTTAAGCTGAGGAATTTACCAATCCCAGCTCAGTGACCCACGAGATGGGGGAAGAAGGAAAGGAGGGTAGGGCTTTAAACCCTCTTAGTAAAAGCAAAATTTTGTGTGTAACTTTCCAATGGCTGTAGAAGCTACCAAGGTTGGCCAGAGCCTCACTCTTGGCATTGCCATCTTCTTTCTTAGGGAGGAGCCCCTGCTAAGTCAGGGGAACACCCTTTTCTGTTTCAGTTGACTGCTGTTTGGGGTTGTCATCCTGGCTTTTCTTGAGTTTTGGCAACAGTACAAAATCCTGAAAATGAAAGGGCTGTCACAGGACAGTTTTTCTGCTCCTCTCCCTTCCTCCCTCAGTTTGCCCTGCTCCCGGCCTCTGGCTTCTAATCTTTGAGATCCCAGATTATCTCTTTTTTAACTTCTATAAGTTTACCTTTGTTTTTATGAGAAATAAACTCACCATAGCTCATGATTTCTTTCTCTAATATGCTCTTTTATGTAGCAAATCTGGATGGTACCTTCTTTAGATTCAGGAACAAACTTTTTAAACTGCTATTTTTAAACTTTATTCCTTATTTAACAAGGAGAGGCAGGCATCAAGTATTTGAGCAATTATCAAACTGGAATCTCACAGAATTTTTATTAACTTTTCTTAAAAGTTGATTTATAACCTTAATGATGCTGATATGTTA